TGGATGATGGGTTGTGTGTGTGTGTGTGCTGGATGATGGGTGTGTGTGTGGGTGCTGGATGATGGGTGTGTGGGTGCTGGATGATGGGTGTGTGTGTGGAGTGCTGGATGATGGGTGTGTGTGTGTGTGCTGGATGATGGGTGTGTGAGTGCTGGATGATGGGTGTGTGTGTGTGTGCTGGATGATGGTGTGTGAGGTGCTGGATGATGGGTGTGTGTGAGTGCTGGATGATGTGTGTGTGGTGCTGGATGATGGGTGTGTGAGTGCTGGATGATGTGTGTGTGTGTGTGCTGGATGATGGGTGTGTGTGTGTGCTGGATGATGGGTGTGTGAGTGCTGGATGATGGGTGTGTGTGGGGGGGTAGCATTTTTTTACTTTATGTGTATGTATAGTTTTTTATTTTACTCCCCCCTCCCTGCTTCTTACCTTGTCAGGGAGGGGGGAGATCGCCTGGTGGTCCGGTGGTATGCTGGAGGGAGCCAGCCGCTGCACAGAGGGGCCATCACACGCTGTGTTCCCTCTCCAGCTCTAACTCTCGCGAGACTCGCCTGTGCGGAGCGCTGCCATGGTAACAGCCGCGGGTCTCGCAAGAGTTATAGCTGGAGAGGGAACACAGCGTGTGCTGGACCCTCTGTGCAGGGAGCAGGGCCGGTCCTGCAGGACAGGTAACGGGAACGGCGTTCCTGCTGTGGAAAAAGTGCGGGAACGCCGTTCCCATGCGTTCCTGCAGGACTCGAGCCCTGCCCACCAGGCAAGATAACATCAATGCATCGCTACAGAGCGACTTAACGCTGAAAGTAAATGGCTACCACGCGGCCTCATTAAAATGGCCAACAGCAGCACAACAACTTCACTGGCCCAAACATGGATGACCCCCTATGGCGCGCTGTAGTAGAGCTCATAAGCCACACAGCCCGAGCAGTGACCGCTCCTGATAAACGACCGCAGACAGAAAAGAATAACGGCTGTCTGCATTTATTTAGCACCTAAGGCACACACCGCGGAACCTACCACCAACAGCTTCAAAAGCGGTTACAGTGGCTGCATTTACAGCTAAACATACAGTGATGCTATTTGTTATATTTAGTGTTATAGGAAATATTAGTTTTCTTTTTATGCCTAATGCTGACAACCCAGTACGCTCCACTCTGCCTGGTGGTACCTTACCTACACACTTAACTTAGCTAAGCTTGCTACCCTATCACTCCACAAAATGTCAGTAAGTAAATCTGCAGTTACACCTCGTATACCACAACGCTTACCTGACATAAGATTAACTATAGACTACACTACTCTATTGTTGGTTTGTATAAACAGTTAAACGTCAGGCTTCCCGATGTTACACTGCAGACATACATCCCAACTCTCGTCTAGGTAATCCTATGGAGATCCTGAACCACTACATAAACAAAATGTGCAAGTTTGATCTCACCTGATATCTACATTATACTAAAAAAATGTGCTACATACTCAAATGCCTTCTAAATGTTACGCGATGTCTAATAATCACTTGTTTGTCACTGCTGTTGGGGCATTGACAGAATGTCTGTGAATCATATGCACGCAAAAATAAAGAATTTAAAAATAAAATTAAAAAAAGGATTCGGCTGTGACCGTGCCGCTTTAACTGTTCGGTGTTACTTACTGATGTGAGAAAGCAAAGTGAATTTAGAGTTTAAAGCCACAGTGTAAGTTGAAGAAAAGCACAGCTGACTTAGAGAATTTTCCAGGACAGCTTCTGTTTACTTAAATGAGATTTCAAAGTGAATTTTAAATTTAAGGTAATAACCCTGTAAGCTTTGAATTGAGGCCAAACTGTTTAATTTTTGTTTCATCAGACCAGAGTATGTTGTTTCTCATAGTCTGAGACTCCTTTTAGGTGTTTTTTTTTTTGCAATTTCCAAGGGGGCTTTCATATATCTTGACCATAAAGACCAGATCGGTGGAGTGTTGCAGTAATGGTTCTCCTTCCACAACAAGCTTGATCACCTCGCTCACTAAGGCCCTTTGTTTCTGACACTGTATTGTCAATATAGCTATGTACTGTACTGAAATATAGCTAATAATGTAGGTCAATAGCTGTAAAAAAGTGTTGGTGCATGGTGTGACCATTTCAAGTTTGATAAAGATAATCTGTCGGGGCTCCCGCTTCAGGGCCAAAAATCGGCGATAACTGGGGGCCAAATCTAGCCAACGAAACATTCCGGCAACTAAACTGACCCCCAGCTGTTGGGGTAAGCAGAGATGCCTCCCAAAGACCCTACCTGGTGCCAATGGTGACTCGACAGAGGACCGAAGCAGGAGGGAGCTTGAGCCGGGAAGAGACGGCCGCTCTCCCGGGTCTCCGGCCGGCGGCTGGCTTCCCCCACCCCTCTGGACCGGGGGGGTCATCCCGGTCTACACGGACATCCATCAGTGCGCCAAACCGGGCCTAAAAGAACCATCCCGCCAAGGTACACTTACCGAGCAGTACCCCTCAAGATGGCCACCGCACGCAAGCCACGTGCGCGAACTGCCAGCACAATGGAGCCGATCGCAGAGAAGACTACCCATCTGACCTACTCCAGGGCTGTACTGGCTGACCACACCGAGACCGGCAGTGGTGAGAATGACGAGAGCGGGAACAAAGCGCAGCAGCAAGCAACCTCTCCCACCTGCACAAGACAGTCCACTGATGAAGAGAGAAGTGGTTAAAAACAGAGGCCGCAGCCAGGCTGCACAACCTGGACCCAGCTTCCTTCACTGGACCACCACCCGTCGGGTACAAGCTGAACAGACAGCACACTGAAACCTGACAACCACATGGATTACAAGCCCTTCAGCCTATTTTACCAAGCGGTATTGTTCGGACACTTTTTCATGGGTCTCTTTAATGTCACATACCCATGAGTTTTATGCTAGACTCCAGGCCCACAAGTCTCCTTACGTAGAATGCCTAACATAGCTAAATCCTATGGCATGCCAGGCTACGAGCGAGTTAAAGGCTACACACAAGCTGAGGGTAAACTAAGTATTAAAGAACCAACCTGCTGATTTGGCGTTACTGCATATATACACAGTGAGATCCGTGTTCTAAGAAGCGAAGTATCACTCTCCAGATAAAGCTACACACATATAATACTCAGCCAAGCTACTTAAAACCATACTGTTATAATCACATATGACACGTATAACCAACGTTATATTCCAGCACCACAAGTGTCATTACAAGCATAGACTCACACTACTCAAACCTATTAATCTAGCTAAGCCAATCTTTACTAAGCTTGTATTTGAATTGTCAATCTGCACCGACACCATCACGGATTAGTACTAGCCTGTTTAGGTAGCTACCGTTGAATATTTCTGTATTACTCTTGACCCATAAAATTTATAAAATGTGCAGCTATCTCAAATGTCACACATGTATAACACTGTTCTATTAAGCCTGCTAATGCTGTCGTGGCACTGCGTGCATGTATGTTACTTCATGCACAATAAAATAAAGAATTTAAGATATTAGCCAAGTTGATTTCTGGGCTTTGTACTCCCTGCTGGAAATGGTCCACGGACAGCTGCACACTTATTCATTGGTATACCAAGACCATATACACATGGTGTGATTTATACAGAATTCAGATACAACAGAACTTTGAAATCAATTTCTATTCCTCATGCAATTTACCCGTAATACTCCACAGGTACTACACTTATCTTTCAAACATGTCACAAAATGCAACATTACATTATTTTCAGGTGACCTATTTTGCTTCTCACTTAAAGAAACAATCCATTCACCATGACCACTTGATCTTAATCTCTAAATCCCATCGTATTCCTGATGCTCTCAACCTATCACTAGCTTCTCATTGAGAAAACTGCGTGAGGAAAGTAGCTTCCTTTAAGGCACAATATTCGACTTCCAACATCACACAAATTACCCTATGGAGATTATTTATGAGCCTGAATGGCTAATTTTGTGCATAAGATTTTCTTAAGGGGCGCTATACCTTTATTTTCACAGATAAATAGTGTATAGTTTTTAATAGCAAGGCTGTTGCTGTAGTTTGTTCTTTGTCCAGGAGATGGTACTGCATTCACACCTTTTGGCTGAGTTCAGTACAAACACATTGCCTCCTTTCAGAGTATCCTAACAGGAGCTTGTGGCTGCAATTGTGTCTACTGAATTTAACCCCTTAATGACAAAGGCAATTGACCAAGTTCTGAACCAAAGCAAAACTTAGAATTTGACTATATGTTTGTCCAACTAGAATTTACCTCTTTCATAATAAGTGCACCCACACTTGTAATATATAATTTTGTTCAGGAGAAACAGGGTTTAATTTTACATCAAATATTTGTATATGAATAAAAGCAAAAAAAAAAAAAAGATTAAAATGTGAGAAATTAAGAAACTGATTATTCTGCATGACATTTAAACTGTACATTTCATAATACGGTTAGCTTTTAAATAAAACACATATTTGTATGCAGTGATGTCCGATGTGTGTCTCCCCTCCTGCCTGCAAGTTTTATAGGGTTTTGGAAAGTTACAGGGTCAAATATAGGGCTTGCAAATTAAATTCTCTTGTATTTATGCTAGACTGTTATGAATTATAGAGTGTATGTGTGTGCGTGTGTATATATATATACTCTCTCTCTCTCTCTCTCTCTCAATAGTTAAATACAAATAAATGAGATAAATATGGTTAAATGACTGAGAATAGGCTTGATACCCAGCTTCCATTATAAATGCTGGTAAACAATGTGTAATGGGCTACATTGGCAGTAGAGAACAATGCATTTTATGAAAGGGATTCTAGTTAGAAAGCGTGTGCCTGTCTGGCATTTCTGTGAAGTTGG